CGTACGTGAGCGGCTAGATTGTGCAGTTATACCGTAGTTTAGCATGTATGTTTATACTGTGTCATGTTTTTGTATATAATATAGGACTATGTGTATGATATATATGAATAATATACACGCGTAGATTTTTTAACATCAAATAGGAAATAGCGCATTCATCGGGTTCTCGGTTGACTTTTGGTTTCTCATGCTGCTACGATTGGCAAAATTTGGCTCGAAACTACTGCTAATTGACCAGATTCCTTTGTACCTATCTCGCCAACTATGCAATGGACTCCGTCGCTAATTTCTTATACTATATCTGTAACGTACATTCTGAATTGCGTCACGCTGGGTACACAAGTCGTCCGGAAGCCTTAAAGAGACGATCCAAACTAGTCCAAATGTATGACAGTTTCATATCAAACGACATGAGCTGTCTACTATTATCTTACGTCCCTGGGGGCAACTTGGAGTCGTGGATAGGTATGTGCGATTATATGGTCTCAATGTAAGTCAAAATAATTGGCATATCGTACTGCGTTTGTGTACACGCTGGCGGCAATATTGAGAAGAGGTTGGGTGCAAGCGACGTTTTATATATGCATTGTTATTTGGCAAAGGAAGCCACTTCGACTTGCCCATATATACAGTTAATCTTGCCTCGAATACTCATCATTCTATCTTCTGGCGATACACATGCGCACTTTGCTGTTCTGGGAAAATGAAGATTGTATCTGTAGAAGATCAATCCTTTAAGATTACTTTACATGCACATTGGGTTCAAATCCCTGCACATGTACACATGAGCGCACACAAGGACTGACACTTGCTCGCCTCGCTCCTGCAATAATCATACCAACAAATATTGTAGATTAGCGTGTTTGGTACATCACATGTACATACATGTTCTAATTTTTGGCTTATAAGTCACCGGTGTGCGATCGGCGCATCAGCGCATGCGCGAGTCATGTTTTCATCAATATGCTTCTCTGACGAATATCACACTTGTGCCCGATATATTTTGGATAAACGAGGCTTGATAGAAACAGCGACGTAATTCTGCTTTGTCGAGGCTGTCGCAGCCGAGTACAAAATACTTATTCTTACACATAGATACAACCCAAAGCTGCCCCTACTTCAGAACAACCGCAATGCATAAATATATATCAATTATGTGACATCTCAGACTAATTTAAACCTCACGCTCGTGCATTCTCACAGAGAACCGAGTATTCAACGAAGAATCGGCGCTGTTCTACTTTGCCGAGGCCGCCGCAGCGGTGCACGAGATACACACATGTTGCTTCGTGCACAGAGATATCAAACCCAGCCAATTCTTACTTGAAGGCAACGGGCGCTTAAAATTGTGCGACTTTGGGTCGTGTGTGCGCGTGAGTGAAGATGGTTTGGTTAGAGCGAAAGTGCAGATAGGCACTACAGACTACATGTCACCGGAAGTCATACGGGCGAGGAGGCGGACACAGCCTTTCCCATCAAACACGGATTGGTGGTCCTTGGGTATCGTATTGTACCAGGTGAGCCTACCATTTTTCACGCGCCCAAACATATATATCTATTATAATACATATATATATATAAGGACTACTTGTCACCGGAAGTCATACGGGCGAGGAGACGGACACAGCCTTTCCCATC